CCCTTTCGGTTCAGTATTCTTCAACACAGAACTTTTTATGGTTTTGAATCTGTTCCCGAAACCTGCAAAAGTTCAGTACTGTTGGACAGAACTGTTGATAGTTTCGTATTGTCATGCAGAACTTGAAATGGTTCCGCATGAGCTACGGAACCATAAAAGGGTTCTGCTGAATTCCTTTTTTCTTTCTTCATTCAGAGTACCCTTAATTCGTTTTAGATTGGCATATCAACGAATTACACTGCCTGAAAAGTGCATCACGATACAAGAATAAGTTTTGAGATGCATCTATAACGAAGAAGCCTCAGTTTTAAATAGAAACCTGCGAGAGACGATTTTCAGTTCAATCATATGCGATACAAAACAGTCGTACAGCTATCATAAACGCTTTTCATGGTATTTTCTGTCCATCACAAAACGTTTTTGTTAATGCCGAGCACAAAAATACACTGACCTTATTAAAGCTTCATCTTCATGGAAAATTTTTAAAAATTAATTTTGTTTACGTGATCACGATTTCGAAGCATTTGGCAAACAGTTTTCCGAAATAGTAAGGGCAGCAATAATGTTGTGCTTTCGCACATGTATGTGACTAATTTCAGCCATCTTTTCAACGCAATCATCAAGATAGAAGAAGGAAACTCGAATTTTTATCAACGAATTCGATCTGTACCTTTTACCCATGGGCTGGAATCAAATAGAATTAGATATTCTAAACATTTTTGGGAAGAATTAAATTTTTTTAAGACGATCTTAATCTGAAAAAGGACTATGGGCATTATAGTAGCCGAAAATCTTCATCTAATCAGTCACAAATAGGGCCGAGTATACAAGTCATACTATTTTAGAAATTATATTATGCCTAACGTTCTTTCAAATAGGATGAGTTAACCAATCGTACTCCAAGAATCTAGAATTTCAACTCTGTGTTAAAGGTAACTAACGTTAGATATAATAATAATATAGATAAAAGTTAAGAAACAAGATACATTCGCTGAACTATTATTACTGTAATAGTTTTTATTGAACTCTCTAATTACTAGTAAAGCATTTATATACTAGTATAAATGGATTGAAAACGTGTTGTTGAAATATTATCAACAAGGATTTTAAAAACAGATGAGAATAAAAAAATAAGCAAATATTGTTTTTTTATGCTCATTAATCGTATCTAATTATAAAAGCAGGATGCTACGGCCATGAATGCATACGAATGCCACTTTGACGTAATTTTGAAAAGAGATTGTAGGCATCCTTGAGTGAATCTAATCCTCCTCCTCCCCAATAAGACTCCATTTCCTTCACATTGACATGCATTTCGAAAAACATTTCATCAATCAAAGAAAGCCAAACTTCATTTTTAAGAATTTGTTCTATAAAATCTTTCTCTACATTGGATGCATCGATATCAAGTTTGACAATGACATAATCATTGGGTTTAGCTACTCGTTCAAGTATTTTCCATGGATTAAATTTACCAAATGGTTCAACAGCGACATTGATGAATGTATATATTGGTAGTAAATCAGCAGGTATCTGTTCGAAAAATATTTTTGGATTTCGTGGGCCTTGTTCAAATGCAATGATGCGATCAAATTTTAATGAAATTTTTTTAAAATATTCGTAGAACCACCGGCTACTTATGGCTGCCCCTATTTTTCTCATACCCTCTAATTCATTAAATAACGAACTGCCAATATCGATTAATATCTTTTGACCATCCAGACTACCAAGCCACGGAGGTATAGGCGAGGTTAGAGCTACATTTTCGTAGGGAGCAGATGGTGCCAAAAGTAAAAAGCGTTTTGATTGTAAAGCAAAAGTGATATCATGGAAAACTGAGTTTCCAACAGTTGAGCTAATATTCGGACAAATTGTCAAGGGATCTCGGAGAAATCCAATCAATGGTTCGATGTTTTGCGTGATTACATGCCTAGAGCGATTGTTCACACATTCTAATCGATATACCATTTTAGAAAAGAGTTTATCAACATTCAATATTGAAGTTCCGTTGAAAATCGATCTTTGCAACGTAATAATGCGTTCTAGTGCTTGAATACTGTTTTGCATTTGATCAGGATTCCCTAATGTGAAGCAGACATGATTCTGCAATTCATCGATATTATTATGCCAATACATTTCCCATGAACTCTGTGTATAATGATCAAACTTCCATGTACATACGTCTAATGCAATTCTGGCTACAATTAAACTATTCATCAAAGAAGAAACGGATACACATCTTTAACATACTCGTCATCAGATTTGTAGTTTGATTTTTGGTGTTGTCAGAAATTAAGCATGATGGAGACGATGAGTATTGACTATACTTATAGAACATCGTACTGGTAAAAAAGACTACAATCACAATTTGAAGATAACCACTGAAAGTTTTTATTGCTTTTTTCAACAGTGATTTATTGGATATTACTTGAGAACACTTAGTTCGATTCATAAGAGTGAGTTTCATTTTCACTGAAAGTTCGAATAACGCGTAATAATATCTGGGAATATTCTCTGAAACAGTACACAGTGATGACTGCTTATGAAGTTGTGGATAATAATAGTGCTCAGTGTTTTCAGCTAAATGCGAAGCTTTATCTAAAAGCAAATTGTAACGTAACTTGATGAAGATGCTTTAATGATATTATATTCAATAACCAAATTGCTAGATAAAATAAACTATTTAAAATTTTCATTGATTGTACCGAACAATATGAGTAACGTTTCATTCTTGCCAAGAGCGACATCCAACACAATGGCAGAATAAGAACAATTCAACAAATCATTCACTTTATTGTATACGTTTCAGGCATTTCAATACACATGAATGGTTTTTAACTGGTTTACATTTTAACCTTCGAAATGTATACTACGACATAAATAACGGGTTACGCTTTTTTTGCTGTTGTAATAGTGTAGAAAGGGTTTCGTTCAAAATTCATAGAACAGCTTGTTGCACAGCATATCTGTCCTTGAACAATATCGTACGGGTTTCATTGAACAACTTTTACCGTGGCTATAGGCCCTATCGGATGAGAAAAAGTTGATTTTAAAATCTAATATTTATTTTGTTTTGACAGATCCGGCCCTTTTTTGGACAGTTGAAAATAAAAGAGAAATTTTTATATACTTTATTTATTTCTACGTTTTTGAATACCTCTTCGCCGCGAAAGCATCGGTCGTGTTCATGCATTTTATTGAAAATTAATGTTGTATCTAGGAATTTTACAAAAATAAAACACTATTAAACACAATATATACTAAGAACATGGCATGTTTTACTGTACGTCACAACCTCTTTATGAGTTTGTCGATACATAAATATTGTTGCAAAGCAATATCTATAGTTATAAAACTCATTTGTTGTTACTATTTCATGATAGCTATTCGTCGTCAATGTGAGCACTTGTTTACGATGTAGTACAATGGAAAAATGATGATCATCGACTATGTGTGATGACTGAGTACAGGATTTATGTGAATAGTCGCCATATTTTATTTTAGTTGTCAACACTAAGTGTCTACAGTCACTCTCTACAATACTCGTAATGTAAATTGAAACATCATATAGGATTGTTATGAATGAACATGCGAATGAAGTATTGCTTTTCTTTATAGTACATTAGCATCCAGGCATGCACGATTAATCTACATTCACAGGGCCCGAAATTGCAACTACGTAAAACAAGAGAGGTTCACAAAAAGTACATTGCCAACGATCGAAATAGCAAAACACATGGATGCACTTTTAGTAGCGATTTCATCAGTCTTTTTCCTTCGTACACAAATAGGGGAACACGACGTAAAAGTAGAATGGTTGAATAAAGAAGTGCAAAACAAAAGCAAGGTTACCCATTTCTTTCTTACTTTATAATTCTATTTCATGAAGAGATTTTTTTTATCGCTGTCCGTTTTTCCATTTCACAGCCAGTCAGCAACGACGTGAAGTGTGTTGTAATGTAAAAAATGTCCGCATCCATCGATTTTCCTACAGATAGTTAGCGATTTTAGTTTTCTAGATTTAGCCTTTCTTGTTCAGTAAGAAATGATTATTATTAATTTTATTAGCTTCAGCGAAGAATTCTAAAAAAAACTATTTGCGAATACAAAACAATCTGATTGTTGCATGTCATAACAAATAGTGAATCAAGCGTTCATTTTAGATGCATCTATTTTCAATAAATTCCGAAGCGATATTTTCCTTTGACATCTTCCTGGATAGGAGCTCTAATAAAACGTCCATGATCGCGTTTGACTTTTAAAAAAAGTGTTGTCTCAAGAAAGTGAGGCAATTATTTTTAATTGCATAGATCGACATATCTTTAGATATAATTCCTTTGTTTCCATCAATGAGTGAATTTTGAAAAGTAGAATGAGCAATAAATTCAACCTACAATAAACTAATCAAGCCAAATAAAGAGGTGATGGCTCGTTGATTTCATTGTTACGGGCGTGTATACGAACGAGGGCTATCTATTCAATTATATCCAAACCCCACACCCACACTCCTTATATCATAATTAGTTATCATGTAAAACTGTTACAAGTATTATTTGTAAGTTTGTATTGAGATTAAGACTTTATTTCAAAAAAATAGAACTTAACCCATTCTGTTTTGATTCATTAATCCACATGATTCTCAAACAAAAGACTTCATGGAACCATGATTAATAATTTGTTTGAAAGAAAACCTAAATCGTATACAATTTGAGCAGTTTGTTTCCTTAGTAAGTTGTTTTAATCGATATTCAGCTGTCAAATGAGTTTACTTCAATATATCGTTGTGAGAACCTATACGCATAGCAGCTGTTTTCTGAAGTACAAACAGCTGTACTATGCACAATTTAATCAATTTATTTCGATTATTCAACTATATTCAAGTAGAAATAATGGTAATAGCTTATGATAAAAATCCTTGTTGAAAAAGAAGAGATTCGAATAAAGGATTTCAATTACTCTATATCTATCCATAGGTAATCAAGTGAAGAAATCATTCTAGAGTTTTGATATTGAAAACTCTACTTTCTATTTCATCTGTAATATTTATTTTATCAATTTACACAACAAATATACAAAACAAAAATATAAACATTTTGATTTTTATATCCAATCTATATTTTAAACAAATTTTCACGACAATGAAGATTTGTTTTTCTTCGTTTAACGCGAAAATCTGCAATCAACTTTTTCTAATTGATTGCATATGTAAATGCGACCATGTTTTTCTACTAAAAATAAGGTTTATTTATTTTTAAAAATTTTCATATCGTTTTCTCCATTGTTGTTTGACATGTTCTACACATTCGTTGTACAATAATACTAAAAATAAACAACATGAAAATCCATAATGGTAAGAATAAAATCCAACATTGCATATCTTGTGTATATTGCAGTTTAATACATAATAATATTTCAAATGCACATGATGATAACACACTTAATAAATAATAGATTATTTTTAAACAGTTTTCTTTTGCTCGTAGCCATTTTTTAATTAAAATTAAATATCCAATCAAACATAGAGATATTAAATTAAATATCCACAAAGGCATAAATATTAAAAACCATGACATATGAGCCCATGTTTGGTTTATTTTCAGTGTTATTGATATAAGAAAATTTAATATGCAAATAAATGTTAAAAGTAAACGACAATTTAAACAGCCATCGGGCATCTAGAGACAAAGATTTTCTCTTGTCAAGTTTTCAATAAATTGTACACATGAAAAGAGTTCTTATGATTTTTTTTTTCTGTATGTGTATTTTGTATGTATATCGAGAAAAAAAGAGATGACACAAAAAACGCGAGAGAAAACTTGTTGCGTCGTCTGCAAGACGAAGAGAACTGATTAGAATGGCACATGGGACGAATCCGCAAACCCATTGCTTTTAACAATCGGGAAAAATGTCTGGAGAATAAAGAGCTAGTAAAATTGGGCGAAAGAAAAAAAAGTAACCGATCGGTTAGAGTAGAACAAATGAAACTGATGTATAAAGAAAGAAAAAACACACACGCACAAGCAATGCAAGAGAGCAAGACAATGTGTCACACGCCGTTATGAAGAGTGTATGAATAAAAAAAACCGAAATCTTTAAATAATAAGAGACAAAATCTATGCATTATGTGTTCAATAGAAAAGAACTATTTCATTTTATTTATTTTCTTTTGTTATCGAGTATAGTCGCGCATCATTTGTTGTTGTTGTTGTTGTTGTTGTTGATATTCGGATGTGGGTGGAACTGGTGGTTGTTGCGGTAGATATGGATCGATCGGATATGGCTCTAAAAACAAAAAGAGAAAATTTCGAAATCAAATAACATTAAGAAAAATAAAAAATACTAACGTTTCGAAACGGAAGACCAATCCCCAGTACTACCGATTGCTGTCTGACCACCAGTCGTTGGCATAGGTAAATGACGTTTACGTTCGCTACCGATTGCCGCTGGCACCATTTTTTGGTCACCACTAGTGCTCGTAGATGACGATGATGAAGAAGAACCGCTTGAATGATTACTATTGGCATTTATAACATTCGGATCGACAATCACTTGTGCTTGAGTATGTCCATTTGTTGGATCTAGTAATTATGAGAAAAAATAAAAGATGGAATTAGTGAAATAAAAATGTGATAGAATGATTTATTTATATATTTTTTTTATAAGTAGATTTTTCCTATAAATATTAGTGTTTCTGAATATGTCGAGATAAATTTTCGCCGATGCTATTTTACTAGTTAACTGAATGATTGAGCTAAGCATAACAAAATAAGAAACTTGAAAGTAAGAAGGGAAATTTTCTTGAAAAATTTCTATAATATTTTCTATTAGTATGAGGAAGCTTTTTATTTCAAGTGAAAATTATTTACATTTGATACCTGCAGTTAATGGTATATCATCACTGTTTGAAGTAGTCGGCTGTTGTATATTAATCGTCTCATAAACATTTTTATTTACATTAGACGACACTGGAATAGTATTAGGTGTTGGTGGTTGTGCTTGTTGTGTTCGTGATAGAAAATTGGTATAGTAATAAGCAGCAACCAGTGCTGCTGCTTGATTTGGATCTTGTGGTAACTGTCCTTTAGATGCTAATGTATTAGCGATTTGTAATGTTGTAGGCAATTGTGGCGGTGGTGGTATAAGATGTTGTTGGCTAGCATGTAGACGCCAAAAATGTAAAACTTGATTTTGTACATGTTGCTGCATTGCTTCCATATCTGCTTGTTGAAGTGGACGTACAGGTGGTAGTACTTGTGGCGGTACTATTGGCTGTGGTGGAGGTGGCGGCGGTGGTTGTGGTGTTGCATGTACTGAAGAATTATTATTATTTGTATATAACTGTTGTTGCTGTTGTTTTTGTTCCATCATACGGGCTATATTCATGATATTAGCTGATAATGGTCCATTGGACATAGGGGCTTGTGGCAGCTGTTGTGGTGGTGGCGGCGGCATGAAGGGTGATGGCAAACGATTACAATGTTGAAATTCTGGTGCAGTTGGATTGAGATTCGATCTACTTCGTGACATATTTGCATAGGCTGGATTGTTAAGCATGGATGATTGTTGTTGTTGCTGTTGTTGATACATCGGCGTACTATTAGCTGATAATGTTCGATTAAATTTAGTTCTCATTTGAAGAGGATTTTCACTAAATGTAGCATCAGCTGTGGCTGACATTTGTGTACGATGTGATCCAATTGGTCCGAATGGTTGCTGTTGTTGCTGCTGCTGCTGCTGTTGATCTAGTGACCTATATAATTGTTGCGGTTGAATAAATTGATTTGTTTGTTGTTGTATTGATGATGGTGACGATGAAGTGGACGATGCTGTTGATGAACCTGTTTGACCATTTTGATCAAGAAGTATTTTATTCATCGATGGTGAAATCGATTGTTGATGTCTATTAGCACCTGGTGCGCGCATCAGTTGTGATGTTGGCGAAATTGAATCGAATTTTTTTGTACGAATCATTTGCTGCTGCTGCTGCTGCTGCTGCTGCTGTTGTTGTTGTTGTTGTTGTTGTTGTTGTTGTTGTTGTTGTTGATGATGATGATGATGTATAGGTGTTGTACCAGCACTTAATGGTCCACGGTAACCAGGAGCAATTTTTGGATCTGGCGGTGGCGATAATGATTCATCCATTGTAATAACAATTGATTCATGATGAGATGATTTCATTGGAACATTCATTTTGGCAACATTAGCAAAATTCATTTTTGTTGCTGAACTAGAATTCGTTTCATCCATTGATGATGTTACGGATTCCTTATTTTTTGTTAATACATCAACAATTGATGTAGTAATAATATTAGATGCAAAAGGATTATATTCCCCGGATGTTGTCACATTAGTTGGCGTAGGTGTGGTCGATGACGTTACAAGTAAGGTCGATGATGATACTGATAGTGAAGTAGAGTCTGACGATGATGTAGACGAGATATTTGATACTGTGGAAGATGTTACAAGGTGTTGCGATGGCACTCGATGGCCCGGCTGGGATGGAACAAAAGAATTAGGCGATGGGTGAACAGTTGTTGTTATTGTTTCGGATGGTGTTGATTGTTCTCCTTTTTGATAATAATTTGTTGAATAATGCTTACTGGAAGACGCTATTTGTTTATTGGATGGATGTACATATTGATTATGATTATTTAATGAATTCGTATTTGAATATGAATAATGATACGTTGATGAGGTGTTGGGTGGATTTATTGAGTAGTAATTTGGAGTTGACGGTTTCGTATGACTTGAGGAAGGTTTTAATGATGATTGTTGATGATTCCATACTGTTGTTAAATTTGATGCGTTTGGAGCCGTAGAATTTATAATCGCCGATGATGATATACCACGATTTGTTCGATTCGAGTTTACCCATGTTGCGCCAGTAGTTGTTAATGGTTGAGAACTTTTATTCGTTGATGATGATGTCGAACGACTGAGCATATTCGAAGAATTTATTGTAGCACTTCTTTTCGTTGATGCAGTTGACGAACGAGTATTATTTAATGTTGATTTAGTGGATGAATTTGATGCCTGAGGCTCTGATGTCGAAGATTCTAGAAATAGAAATTCGTTAATGTTTAGGCTTTGAGAACTAGTCGATTGCAAATAAGAATTGGATATTCGGAAAACAAGAAGAAGTTGGAACCGAGAGAACTTATATCTAAGTATAAGAAAAGCGAAAAGAAAACTCGGTCGTTTTTAACTGCTAAATATTGATTGTTTTTGATGGAAAAGTCATATCATTTATTGGATTAGCTTAAAAAACTGAGTCAAACAGAATTGCGTTTCATTGGACATGATGTAGTACTATAATCGGAAACTTTCTGATGTCAATTTGTGACATCAAAAGTACACTACTCGCTGAGAAAAAAAAACCATCAGTGTTTGTTTCCTAGTTATGAAATCAAATTCTACCAAATAAAGTTTGAAAAGCTTGAATATTTTTCCTCTGTTTTGCTGACTCGAATGAAATCAGAAATGTGCAACAATTTCTGGTGATAAGCTCATGAGAAAATAAAATTATTTAATTTACCAGTATTTTGTAGTCGTGTTCCATAACTTGTATTATTGATTCTTTGTAATTTATTGATCTCATCATTATTATGATCATTATTGGATGAAATTGTAGTTGATCTTGATTTTGTTTTACTCTCATTACCGGATGGTAATAGACTCATCAATTCAGATTCGGAATTTTTCAATAATGCCATTATTAATTGATACGCATGTTTTATTGAATCACCATTACCTCTATCAAATTGAAATTTTCTTTTATTAAGAAACTACTTATTTCACAAAAACATAGAACACCTACTTGATTAAAATTGTTTTATCACCGATTGCTTTTTTATTTTCTACATCAATAGATGCACCAGTTACTTCACGTAAAACATTTAAATTTGAACCACTTCGTCCAATAATACGTGAATATTGTTCATGTGGTATAGTAATTTTTTTCTGTTTACCTATGACTTCTTGCCATCCATCATCTGTATTCGTTATGGATGGTACACTCGGCGCAGAAGTTGTTTCTTGTTGTTTACTCTTTGATGCGAGATTCTCTTGGTGACGTTCGATTTTACGTGTCATTGTGTTCGTTTTCTTTTTATTAACCGGTTGTTTAGGTAGAGTGACTGGCGGTAGTGGTCGTTCAGGTGAAGGAGATTTCTTTGCTATTTGTTCATGATCTGTTTTTACCATTTTAAGTCGAAGATCATCATCAACTACAAGAGTTGCTGCTGTTGTTGTTGATAATGACGAAAGATTTTCTTGTTGAATTGGCTCTTCATTTTCATTGTGTTCTTCTTCTTCTTCATCATCGTCATGCCCTTCTTCTTGCTGTAGTTGTTGTTCATCGGTTTTTATAGTCATTGCAGATTCAGTTGTAGTGGACTTTTGTTTACCTTTCTTTTTTGCTTTACGTTTTTCACGTTTCTTTGCCGCAGCGACTTTTCGGGTTTCTTCGCGAGATTTTTCTAAATCAATTTCTTTCAATAAACTATTAGCAGCTTTATTGGCTTCGGCTGCTTGTCGTTCTTTAGCAGATATGATTTGATCCATACATGTTTGACATCTTTTTAACAGATCCTGAACAATAAAAACTAATTTATAAAAGAAAATAGGTGCGTTTAGTTTGATTTTTTTACTTTATCAGTTATTGTATTGATTAGACGACGACAATCGGCATCTGATGGAAATTGCCGCACTTGACGTACTAAATATTTAACTACTTTGCAATGTCCTTTACGAAAAGCAGCCATTAGACAAGAAGTTTTTCGTGAGTCACTCAAGTCCGGATCGGCAAAGCGTGTAACAAGTAATTGAACAACTTCTAAATGACCATTATTACAAGCAAGCCACAAAGGTGTAGCACCTTTTTTATTTCGAACATCAATTGTTGCACCATAAAGAAGAAGTAATTCAACAAATTTATGATGGCCTTTATCAGCAGCAATTGTTAAAGCTAAAAATAGAATAAAAATTACAAATTCTTCTGTGTCATCGGCGATTCCTTTATTTTGATTTAATATAAATGATCACTGATAATTATATTGATCTCACGTTATGTGCTAACATAGAATCTTTTCATTTGAAAGCAATTCGGGTGTTCTACAATCACCGTCTTACAGGATTCTGATGAAAGCATTATTTAAAAATGCTCTCAATAAATAATATCCGCTTATAATGACTTGTCAGCTACATATGGAAATTTTTTCGAGCCAAGATGTTAAACACAACACTATTACTACTTTGTATTTCTTTTTGTTTTAACAATCCCGACTATTGTACTGTCATTTCCCTCGTGTCCCCATGCTTGTTTATCATAATTTTATTATTTTACTCGTTCTACATACGAATGACAAAACATATGTTGCGTATATTAAACGACTCCCTTTTTTTAATTGCGCAGGAGACCTGCAGCAAGCAAATACTCACATCGAAACAATTTACTACATTGATTTCTATGCGAAGAAATAACTTTTATATGTTAACACGAAATTCATCAAATAATACACGATTTCTTTATATAATCATATCTAACGTACCAGTATCTTTTGATGTTGGTACAGGCGGTGCATTGACATCGGCGCCTCTTTCTAATAGAACTCGACCAACATCAACATAACCACCCGATGCTATATAGATAAATAATAAAAATGCAATTATAGTTTTTTTGTTTTGAATACAAAAACAGTGGGTTTTGTTTTCTATTACCAGATTCCATTAAAGGTGTTAAACCTGTTTTTGCTCTATGTTCAATATTTGCTTTCCGGTCAACTAATAATGATACAACTTCTGCTCTTCCTTGAAAACATGCTAATGTTAACGCAGTATTGCGATTTGTTTCAATCTGAGCATTTATATCAGAACCCATATCTAATAGAAGTTTAACAGCAGCTACGTGTCCATTCATGGAAGCAAGCATTAATGGCTAAATATAAAAATTTGTGTTTTTCTTCTCGTATAAATAAATCAAATCATACTTACAGTTATTCCTAATTTACTACCAGTTCTAAACAAAACACGAAGAAAAGCATAACGATTTAGAAAAAGACCAAGAAAAATGATGAGTAAAACTGACCGTGAATTAATCTCTGCACCATAGTTTAATAATAATCTTATTATATTGACATATCCACCCGAAGCAGCAAGGCTCAAAGCTATAAAAATTGAATGATGAAAAATGTTCATATCAACCGAAATCTTACCAGTATAATCTGAAACATTTCTATGTTCACGATTGGCTCCTTTCTTCAATAGAACTTCAACAACTTCTTGTCGTCCACCACTACATGCTAATGACAAGGCAGTATCTTTTGTTCTCTCTGATTGAGCTTCAATATTGCCACCATTTTCAAGCAGTCTTCCTACAATATTAGCATGACCAGCAGTAGCTATAAAGCGAAACAAAAAGAAATATGAATGTTTTCTAATAAATACAACGGAACTAAAAAATCAATACCAGCAAGTATCAAAGGTGTAAAACCTTTTTTATCACGATGTTCAATATTTGCACCACGCTGTAGAAGTAATGTAACAAGTTCTTCATGACCACCGGCACAAGATAATGTTAATGCAGTATCATGATTAGATTCTGTTTCACAATCAACATCGATTCGATTTTGAAAATGTAAATGAGACAATGCAGTATTTGGTGTTGAATTTAGAATATTAGCTGCTTGTGATGGACATTCAGCACAACAGATAGAATGTTGAGAATTTGTAGCATTCAATAATGCTGGAGGATGATCATTGACTGGTAATGGATGTTGATGATTATTGTCGTCTTTGTTGGTATTTCGAGTAGTCGATGAAACTGTAAATGACTGTTGCTGTTGAGATAATATTTGACTTGTAGATGGCACTGTTTGTACTGTTGAATCTGGTTGAGAATGAATAATTGGTTCAGTGTGTGTTAGAGCTTTTAAAAAGAAATGATTTACTAGTTTATTTTTGTATTTTTATTCCTAACTGAACAATAAGATCTATAGCTATTGTTTTTGGAACCTCGGAGTCTGAATACGAAAAGAAGTTCAACAAGGCAAATGAAGACTTTTTTCTATGTTTCGAAAGTATTTTTTGTTTTCTTTTAGAACTTACTCATTTAGAAAAATATTTGATCCCAAAACAACTACAGTTTCATGTAAAAAGACTTCTTCGATAATTGCTATATAGATTTAGAATATCTACTCAGCGTGCATAATAAATGTAACTGCTTTATCACTTGTCAAGATATAGTCAAAGAATCTTGCTTCAAAATTGGCAGTCTTCTCTAATTTGATTACTAATAGATTATTGTAAAGGTTTCTCCGAAAATCATGTATTGTAAATAGGAGTTTACAAGTAGCTTCGAACTTTGGGATCGGATATCAGGCATTCATTATTCAATTCCGTTGAAATCAAAAGTACGATCGGAGTCTTGAAATGTCCGGATCCGATAGACTTCAAATCGAATAAAAGATATTCATTGAAGTGAATCAAGTTTTTTTCTTCTAGGTACATTAATCCCTTTTTTTATTGTCAAGGTTAGTTGTCTTACTTTTTTGATGATTTTCATTATTAGATTTGTTTCCAACTGTTAATGATTCAATAGTTGCCTGTTGTAAATTCGCTGGCATAAACGGTGGTAATGTTCTTAATTGTTCATTGAATGATTCATTGGCAACTTTTTTTATTTCTTGCATTAAATTTGGATTATTTACTAATGTTTGTATCCGTTCAAGTTCTGATGGATTACTTGCTAATTCACGTAGATGCTCAAGCGCCTTTTGTGTATCTGTATTTATTCGCATGGGAATTTTCGTTGGACTCGATGTTGTTAAACATTCAGTTGACGATGGTGATGACGGTGAAAGTAGTTTAAGATTTTTCAAATGTAAATTCATCTGATCTATATGTGTTTGATTTTCATGTAGATTTTGTTCTAATCGACGATCAAATTTTGAGACCTGTCTATTAAAAGATTTCTTTATTTTTGGATGATGTTGATTATGATGAAACGGTGGCATAGTGGATTTATTTGATATGCGAAGATTATTGGATGACGATTGATTTGTTTCATTAGTTGATGTGGAAAAGAAATTTATCGTTTGTGTTGGAACAGGTAATGTTAGATTCATTGCCGACAGTGATGTTTGATCATCTTGTTTAGCTGTCGACGATGAAGACGATGTTTCAGATGATGTACTTGATGTAGATGATGATGACGTTGTTCGTTTCTTTTTGCCACTGACTGCTGACGGAGATGGAAGAGAATTTGAATTTACATAGTCATTTACTTGTTGACGATAATCTTGATTGATTTTTAAATGTTGTTGAGCTTTATCATGTAGCTCTTTTTCAACATGTTGAAGTTGTTCTTAAATAAATACGAAAAAGAAATGTTTTCAAGTGTAAAATGAAGAGTGCCCTAATATATTATGAAGTAAAATCTAAAAGAACGGTTACATTCCTACCGAACAGATTCGTAACGTTTGAGAGATGCGTAAAGAGTACAAATCACCTTATGAGAGATGATCTCGTCTACGGCTAAGACTATCAAATTAATATTTGACCGAATCCAAAAATCCTGTATCAGACAGGTCCTCCGTGAACGACATCGCTGACCATATATTGTGTATACAAAACGTATGTCACTCTGTCGTACGAATAACTTCCTTATTATGTTTCTCAAGGAATAATTAAAAGACCAGCGAAAATGTCTTAAAATAGATAGAATAGAATAATCTCTCTATGATTGATAACAGTAGCTACATCCTATTTCACATTTTAGTTCCACAGGCATTGCGCTAACAGCTTGTTAAAAATCTTAAATAAATAAACTATTCAATAAAGTTGCCGATATAAAGAATACCTTATCCCACAAAGAGGAAACTTCTTTCTCGTACTGAGATAAACCTCGTAACTATGAGTAACAATGTTGAAGACCATCTTTGAATGTGAATACCATTACTCTTACTGAAATATTAACTTTACTATAAAAAAAACTATTTGATGACCAAAATTCGATTATGTTGAAAGCGTATTCTTGATTAAATATGCTTTCCTCTATACAAATATTTGAAAGAAATCATTGAGAAGTTCAGGCTTATCATTAGCACACGGAAAAATAAAATCATTTTTATTCTTACCAAGTATTTGAAGTTTTTTTGCTTGTTGAACATTGTTAATATCTGAATTTTGATTTGATACTAGTGACTGTTGCATAGTTTCAACATTTGAAACAGGTGATGATGATGATGGATCATTATTTGACAATGAATTATCTACAAAGAAAAAATATAAGTTCTTTTCTTTTTTTTTGTTAATGAAAGAAAAGCTAACCTTTTGCATCATTATCCGAATTTAATTTTACTGTTTCATTTACACCCGTTTGAAGAACATCAAGAATATTTCTTGGGACTATCTTCTGAAGACTTTGTAATAATTGAATAGGTGAATTGGTTGTCGGAGAAGATTTTTTACTGTCTCCTATTTAGTAAATTCTAATTATTTAAAAGAGAAATAAAAGAAAGTTTATAACGCAACCTGATAATGGTAATAGAAATGAAGTTGGCATCGTCACTGTTAAACTTTGTTCTTTTTCTTCATCATTTTCATTCTTAACATCATTATTTAATGTTTCAATAGAACTGGTCGGTGCTACAATTGGTGTTCGTTGTGCTACACTTTTGGGATATTCAAGTAGTAATTTTACTATTTCTGTGTGGCCACCTTTAGCTGCTTCAATCAAACAATTCGAACGATCCTACGAATAAAAGGAACAACGTATTTATATAAAGACTTAGTTGTTTTTAACGATAAGTATTTACTTTTAGAAGATGATTTGGATCTGAACCATGTTTGAGTAGTAATGAAGCTACATCAAGATGACCACCGGCACATGCTAATGAAAGAACAGTTGAATCATTACTATTTGTTGCTCGATTAACATCCGCTCCTTTGAAAAAAACGCAAACTTGATATGATTTAGATTTTAGGTTGTTGTTGATTTTAAACCTTTTGATATTAAATATCGTACTGTACATATATGTCCAGCTCTAGCTGCTTTCATCAATGGCGTTCGTCCTTCATTTTCAGCTTGATCGATATGTGCACCGGAATTAAGTAAAATTTCTGCTACTTCAGTATGACCACTTTCGCAAGCATAAGCCAAAGCTAGAGATGTTCATTTTTCGAATTCATATTTTGATAGTGAAAGGAAAAGAAAAAAAGAAGTCTACCTGTTTCTCCAGCTGGTGTTGTTTGATTAACATCAGCACCATTTTGTATTAAATATTGAACTAATTCTAGATGACCTTCTTGTGATGCTTCCATAAGAGGGGTTGATTGACCCAGATTAACATTGCCACCATTGGATAGCAGGATTTTTGCTACATCCAAAAATCCACCCGCACATGCTAATGTTACTAAAATAATAAATTTAATTAGGAAAAAACGTTTCACAAGAAAATATTCAATTTATACATACATGCTGTTTCTTGTGTATCTTCAGTTGTTCGATTGACATCAGCACCTAAGACATTTACAAAAAGAAAAACAAAGAGAATATATATATATATATATATATTATTGAATGATCATTTATAATAAAAGAAAGTTCTCAATATAATTCCTATGACCGTAAAAGTGAAAAAAAAAATATATATATCTGACCTAGTACAATTGACTTTTAAGAATAATCAATCATCAATGAAACTTAGCTTACCTGATGCATTTTCGCTGCGTATTCCATATTTTTTTCTTAATCTAGCTAACGGAGGAGCTCCTATTGTACATATCAATTATATCTACAGAAGGTCTCAACGCTCCGTTTATTAACGTCGATAAGATTAGAAACATTGATATTAATTATTTTTCAAAGTTATAAATTGATCGTATGAACACTCTAGTAAATCAGTGCATCACTACCCATCATCCTTGACATCGTCAGTGTACACTTTTATCTATATAATAATCAAAAATTACACTATTTAAAACATTCGCAAATGTATTCCAAATATTCAAATATCATAGAAGGTTGTAGAATGTTCTAGAACAGGTCTTCATAGTTTATAACATATTTTTCAGTTGTTACAAAACTCTAAGATAATAATCCTTTATCTTCAATTACTATAGAAACGCACCAAATGACGGCTAACTTTCATGCTCATTACTACTAATGAGAAACGTGAATTGCACACTCGTTATACTTTTCTTCGAAGAAAACATAACGTGAAGATTACAAAATAACACGAGCTTTTATTTTACCTTGCGAAACAAGTAAATTTACAAGATCATCGTGCCCTTCTCTACTGGCTAGAAATAAAAAGAAAAGAAACTAGTTAAAAATAGTAGAATTATTTCGAATTCAAAAACTTAACAAACCTTCCATTAATGGTGTATATCCTTCGTCGTTAACTTCTTCTAAATTAGCACCTCGTTCAATAAGTAATGACGCCAGTTCAATATGACCACCACAAGCACTTAACGTTAGTGGACTTTCATAACTATCTGGTGGCATATTTACATCGGCGCCATGATCAAGTAATAATTTTGCTACTTGTACATGACCATCCATACATGCTTCCATTAAAGCTGCGAAAATAAACATGCAACAAAAAATTACTAAATCAGCTCAATATTGAAATTCTTGTCCTTCTCAATTTTTTTATGAAATCTAAGTAGTTTCTGAATGAAATTCTTAATCTTATATATCTATTTACCTGTATGCATTTCATCTGTTTTATGTTGTTTACTATCATTTCCACTTTCTACGAAGGAAGAAAAATAGTTCAAATGAATCTTTAGATCATTTTTATAAACGCATACTATCTTTCGAATCATTTGAAAGTGTATTAACACCAGCACCATGATCAAGTAGTGCTCGAGCAACTTCTACATGACCACCACTAGCTGCTTCCATCTATAAAAAAAAGACAAAAACAATTACAGCATTCGTTTTGTTTTTGCGTCGACTAAATTCTTATTTACAAGAGGTGTATGGCCATTTTCATTTGTTTCCTCTACTTTAGCACCATGTTCAAGTAGAAGTCGAACAATATCTGCATAACCCTGAAAAGATAATAGATTTCAAATTTTTGGTTTTGTTCTGTTTTTCGTTCTACTTACTCCTCCTGCTGAATAATGTAGAGCAGTATTTCCGGATGTGGACTGTATATTTACATTCGCGTTGTGTTTTAATAAAAGTTCAACAATATCATAATGACCAGCATTGCAAGCTATATTTTAAAAATAAAAATCTTTTATAATTATAATCATATTTACGAATAAGACTATTTCTAACCTTCCATTAATGGCGTACAATCTTGTTTACTACCGCGATCATTAATATCAATATCAGGTAGAGTCGTAAGTAATAAACGTACAAGATCTGTATATCCATTTGAACAAGCAAGAGCTAAAACGCTATCACCATCTTCATTAACATCATTTAAATGTTCTTTTCCACTTGTTGATTGAAGAAGTTTTTCAACAGTACGAATATCATTATTCATACAGGCACGAACAAATGATCCTGATCTAAAAATAATTTCACATAAACTATTATTATTATTTCTGTCGTTTTATGAACATCATTTATATACGTGTCTTTATTTGATGATTTGCATTTTTTTTCTTGATGTCCACTGATATTTGATGGTGATATTGCATTAGCAATTTCATGTAAACCATTTAGATTACTTGTTACACTACTTGTTAATAAACGTACGACTTGTTGATCACGCCAAAAATCTTCAGGAATAGGAGAATTTGTAATACCAGTGGCTTCAAGTATGGCAGCTAATTTTGCTTGAGTATCTGGATCAATTAAGCCAAGATCCATATCATCATTATTATTAGTATTATTTAATAATGCATTATTTGAATTGGAAGGAAATGGTTCATCGTCATCATCGTCATCGTCATCATCACTTGTTTCGACCTAAAAATAGATATATGTTGTTGTTGATTTGAACTTATTTATATTATTCTTACAACTTCATTATCGTCATCATCGTCTGTGAGCATTTCGTGATTGTGATTTTGAAAACGTTTAAGACCAACAGATAATATTGAAACGTCAGTTAAATCTAGTGATGTATCGTGATCAGTATTACGTATTAATGATGTTCGTAATGATTGATCAGGTATTGATGTAGTTGTTGTTCGTGAATAATTGCCTTTCATATGGCAAGAGCCATTGTTCATGCTAGAGTATTTAAGAAAACAAGAATAGAGCTTTGATTGAACCGATATTTATACATATAAACAAAAAATCTCTAAAGAAGAAAATAATAAATAACAACTCAAATAGTAGTCAATAGAGGAAGGTCAGATGTTTGTTCAGTCACTCTGACGCTGATCGTATGGCCGGCCCCATAACGAGAGAGACAGAGACAGAGACATAGGAATGGTATAAGAGATAGAACGGGACGAAGACAGAGAAAGATGAGATACATACACAAACAGAAGGAACGAAACGAAGGAGGGCAGGCAGAGTAGGGCACCACCACCAATACACTATGACTGTGTGATATAACGTGGATTGAGATATGCATTTTTTTCAACCATTGACATATTCTTTAGTCATTATGGTCGACCATACAAGATTACCTGTAGGTAAACTATAACAATATAACTCAACGAAATGATTTTACCAAGATTTTGTTTCATTTCATTTAAATAATAAGAATTCAGATAGATGCCACTAGTAATCAGTTAACCGAAGGCGTAGGTTTTGAAAGGACGACTATAGTTATTAGTAAAATGATGTCATTCATATAATTTAATAGGTTGCTTTTTTTAAATTTTATTTATTTTCTTTTAGTCGAAAAAAGCAAATTCTACGCAACATGTAATTTGTGGTGAGAAAATGGGGCGAGAAGGCCTCCCTCCTACTTCTGGTATTTAAACGCAGGAAGCGGCAAGTATTGTCAGCACATCACATCTCGTCTGATGCAATGCACAGTATGAAATCAATAAAAAAAATAATTTCGAAAAGCTTTATCAACAAGAAGAAGAAGAAGAAGAAGAAGAAGAAGAAAACTGTAATAGAACAGAATTATATGAATTCAAGTTTGACAAGTCAGATTCGTCTCTTTGTATATTGGAAATATATAAATTAGGCATCCACATCCATTTACTGTAATATCTAAAAATATAGCAATCCATATCTAAATTATATCAATATTGCCTAACTTAATACAGTAGTATCTATTCTGGTGAAAGGATACCATTAAAAAAATTGTTTAATCTAATTTTGTAATTCAACATCTTTTAAATCAATTAAATATCTGAATTAAAAAAGGTTCTGTCTTTTAATTCAATTNCAGCATCCCATTGGAAGCTAAAAATATTCCATTGGGACTAAAAAGAAAACGAGGGCGTGTTGCTAAAGCTAAAAAAAGCATTAATTGTGCAATAGTTTTCTCTTTTTGCTGTGTTTTTTTTGTTATAATTGATAATTGTATCTTTATTTTTTTTCTATTAAATTAATTATTAATTTGATATAACTTTGTGTTGTTAGATAGTGTTACTTAATAAATTAGATATAAATTCATCGTATATTAGATATAAATTTATTTTAAAATTAGATATGGATTGGTATATTTTTAGGTATGAGTTTATATTTATCCCCATACATTATTGTATTAAAGTTTTAAAATATTAATAATACTCTTGATTCATCAAAAAAAGATAGTTAAACAAAAGTCTCTGTTTATAATGTAAAATATTTTATCTGTTTGTTGATTATGCAAACATTTCTTGGAAGTTCAACTGTAAAGTGATTATGGCAGTGTCACATCCATACTAGATAATTTTGTTTTATTTCTAACATAGCCTCATGAGAATTTTTATGATTGCATTTTTTTTATTTCATTATTCAAATGAAGTCATCAGTCTTCCGATAGTGCACATGATCACAATTTAATGAATGACTAGATAAAAAAATGTTCTCAAGTCCCTGTGCAATACCAAAAGAATGGCGCCAATTGAAATTAAAAAAAGCAAGGATAAATATAATATCACTAAGAAGATTTTATTCTTTTATTGAACTAGTTGTTATATTTAGATTTAAAAAAAAATGCATTTTCATAACTCGAAAAGATATTTTAAAAAAACTTTTTCTACCTTAGGTGTAAATACTATTGTCATAATTAAATTTCTTTTCTGATCTGGAACTTTATACAGCTGTTTTGATTCCGCTGCATCAAGCATTAGATTTATCAGATTGCTAATAATGCGAAGAATATAGGACATCATTTGGAAAAGAAAAATGAGTAGCGAATCCCTTTGGACACTCGACTAGTTTTTGTTTAACCTGCTAAGAGGAAATAATTTCTCTGCAACACATCATCAAGCATTTGACGACTGATTATACAAGATTAAAGACATTTCTAGGAAAAGGTTGATGATAATCGAGTCGAATAGGGACTCTCATTGGTTACATAACTAATTTAAGATATGAACGGTTCATGATGTGTACCACCCAACGTGTTCAAATGAAAAAATATTCATTATCAATGCATTGTGTCCCAACGTCTGGCTTACATCAGCAGTTGTTTTGATGTCTTAGTTGAATACAACTAGATGGCTAACACAAGAAAAACACAAAGTTATAGATATGCAAAAGTAACTTTATCATAATTAAAATCTTTTGTCTATTACTCTAATAGGTAATATTATGAGGGTTGGGGAAAGTCTTCTTTTGCAATACGTCTTTCGAATAAATGTATGACTGTATAAGTTTTTGTTTTGTAGACTATTTTGTCCTATAAAACTTTCAGACAAAAAAATGTTTATATTGTGTTGAAGTGTCTTCACATGTAGGGGTGTCACCAGAAAAAAATTGTAGGGGGGGAGGGCTAAGTCGTTAGTCAAAACTATCGTAGGAGGGCTAAACTCAGTTTTTCACAGGATTATATTTTTTCTAGCGGGACAGAGCCCCCCCCCCCTTCCCTGGTTACGCTCCTATTCACATGATAGATTATAGTTAATATGATGAAGGTTTTTAATGTACCGAATAAGACTTTGTTTAGACAGCTACTAAAAATCATGAAATACTCAAACATTGAATGTCGAAGAATTATTATTTGTTTTACATAGACTGAGCACAATGATATTTTGACTGATCTATGAATGATTTTGATGCGGTACAGAATTGTTTCTATTTTAATTTTGTATTGAACTTCGAGACTGCAGAACTAACTGCGTTACTTTTATTGCTAAAAATCTATGGCTCTGTATAGTTTTACATGAAAGGATACCAGTTTTTAAAATATTTTCAATGCATATGACGTTGTGAAAATTAATTTATTATTATTGAATATTTATATGTCGAATTGTTACTGGTGAAACTGAATTCAAATGTAATATGGAAGTTAAAAATAACACATATTGGCATACTTTAATGTTAATATTATTCTTAATCCTTCATTAGAAAATGAAAAAGTTTGTTTTCGTATAATCTTTAAGATTTTTCTATTTATTTAAACGATTTCTTTTTTTTTCATGCATGCTTGTCAAAGATGGTTGATCACAGCAAAAAGATAAAAGCTTGCCGATTATAAGACAGATTGGCATTAATACCAAGATTTTCGTTTTATCCCGCCGATTGTATCATCATCGTTCGTTTACCTGTTGTGTCGATATTGATGGCACGCTTGGATGATTCTCCTTCCTCCTCTTTCTATTCTCGTTCCATTATTCTAATATATATATATATATATCCTGTCTCTCTCCTATATATACGTGTGTTATGTATGAAGTTGTTACACTCTGGATATGTGAAGAAGCGAATACGCATTATTGCCGAGAGTAGCGGTAAACTACCCCATCTCAATCAAGTTTATCATTAACATATCTACTCAAATACGGTCCCATATTTATCGTTACACCTCTCAAATGAGATTAAAACAAACTGGAAGATAAATCGGAGAAGAAAAAAAATTATGAATGAAAACTTGATTGCCAAGCGAAGTTTACTATTTTTCTTGACGTAGAGGAATGTCATCATGCAATATTCAGAGATAAAACTTTTGTTGTACTATTGACTCATCGTGATAAAACATCATTAAAAATTAAAAATAGCATCATCACAAAGTACATGTTCCCGTCGGTTTCTCGTAGGATTTCAACAAAATCTTATAGGATTATATCGGATTCCGGGTAACGGACCTAAAGTCGGATCCTCGGTGTCGGATTCCCATGAGATCCTACAGACGGACTTCCTATAGGAACCCAGATCGGGAAATCATTGTATTCTACAGTCGAAACCCGACAATAAACCGACCATTTCCAACACTCGGATTCTATAGACTTACTACAGGAATCCATCGGTTCCTACGGGGTTCTGCAGGGTCTGACGAAAACCAACAATATGAATCCGAATAAATTTCATTCACTCAATTTTCATAGGATCCAGCAAGTTCCTATAGGAAAATATTAAACCCGATGAAATTTCAACGAGAAGTTTGTCTTCGACGAAATTTACACCAGTATCAAGACCCACCAGCTACCACATCTCCGAAAAAAACCATATCAAAGCTGCTAAACGCTTCCATATTGCTCTTTTATCATCTGTCTTTATCAAAATCTATCCTATCTACATGACTCAGCTAAGTCGCATACACCCAATCATTATTTAACAATCCAAAACAACACGCCACACATTACAGAGCGTTCAAGAGTCTCTACAGATTACCGTCACTCAACAACTCCTAACCCTAAACCCATCGGCTCCATCTGCGTATTACTTCCAAGACCAGTTTCGCAACCGGGATCCCACTCCTACTCAATTTCACACATCCACACACACACTTTCAGCTTAATAAGGTAGCATTCAATTCCATAACAAATATTCAAAAACATACCACCCTCGCCACCCTCGCCACCCACAACATCACTTACATCATACCAAAAATGATCGCAAACCCAACATCCAATTCCATAAACAATCATTTTCATAACATCTATATCGTTCATTGTCTTATGCCTCAATCACTTCACCGTATCAACATTACTGTTAGATAATGCATTTCCTTATATTTCTTTCTACCGATATGTAAATAAAGTTCGAATCCACAAAAAATTGACCTATCTTTATATTTTATCAAGAAACAAACTGAAACAGATTTTACATAAGCAGCATACGTCTTTACAAATGGAAAAAAACAAGAGGAGAAGCGCAACATGACAAAATATTTTCT